GGCTGACTCTGAACAGGGGAATTTGTAGCTTCTAGCATCTGTTTCAGGTTACTTCTTCAGCTTTCTCTAGATCAACAGTAGGAACACTATTATGGGTATGAAAGGATCTGCAGGGTGCTTGGCAATTCTGTATACAGAAGGTCCCTATGTAAAATGAACGAGCGGTAGGGGCATCCTGTTTCACCTTCCTACTTCCATCCTAATAGACAGCTCTAGTTAGACAGCACTTATCACGGTGACCAATGACATACTTCCGGGGATTGTAATCTATGTATTGTGTTTTAACATTAATGTTTTACTGCCATGAAGTGGCCAAATGTAGGACAGTTATTTAATTGTTCTGGACACTTTGCTGCCTGAGTCTAAGAGCCAAGCACTACCTTTCAGTACTGGTCCATTTTTCTAAAAGCATATTCCAGAAGCTTCCTTACCATTAGAGCTTAATATAGCAGCAGAGCTTTGAACTAGAAGCAACATAGGTTTAGAGGAAATTTGAAATTCATTTGCTCTAAACCTGAGGCCAATTTCACAAAACCAAGATAAGGTAGTAAATATGGGTTATGCAGACATCCTGACCTAATTATATATGTATGTATATATATACACATATATATATATATATATATATATATATATATATATATATATATATATATATATATATATATATATATATATATATATATATACCGGGTATATATATATATATATATATATATATATATATATATATATATATATATATATATATATATATATATATATATATATATATATATATAAATATATACCGGGTATATATATATATATATATATATATATATATATATATATATATATATATATATATATATATATATATATATATATATATATATATATACATATATATATCTAATAAGAAAAGTGGGAAATGTTGAGACTCAGAGAGGAGCTCCAAGATACTATTGGGCAATCATAAACAACCTTGTGAACATCCTGAGAGAAGATAGCCACTGACACCTTCTGGCTTAAATGAAGAATTACAGCTTAGTTATTTGTATTAAAAGTTTTTTGCCATAAATTAAAAAGCTCCTCCATCAATCTTAATCAATTATTGTTGCAGTGTCAGTGGTGCAGTGGGTAGCACTGCTGCCTTGCACCAAGATAGTTCTGGGTTTGATTCCCGGCCTGGAATCTTTCTGCAGGGAGTTTGCATGTTCTCCCTGAGCATGTGTGGATTCTCTCCAGGTATTCTGGCTTTCTCCCACAATCCAAAAACATGACTGTTAGGTTAATTTGCTTCTCTAAATCCTCCTTAGCTGTGAGTGTCTGTCTGTTATATATATACATATATATATACATATATGTGTGTGTGTGTGTGTTACACTGTGTCTACCTTGTTACTTTTTAAAAATTATTCACTGTACCTTGAAAATTATCCTTTCAGATTTCATGGCACAATACTTGTCTAAACATATTTAACAGAAGAAATGTAAGGAGTAATTGTCCTAATCCTGAGAACCAAGGAGATTATGAAGCTTCAGATTTTAACAGATCATTACGAAACCACCTGGTGCTGTAAATAGCACCCGTAGTTTTAATATTTTGAATAGTTACGTTTTTTTCCCCTTTATTAATCAGAACGTTAGCATTACGAATCAACTCTCATGGGGGTATGAATTATGAGATATAGTCAAGTTAAGGCAAGAAGTCCACTGACCTTAGGTTTAGTACTAAGCCCTCGAGGCAAGGTATTAAATATTGGGTTTAGACATAAAGCCTACTAAACTAAGGTTTAGAAATGGGTCATTCTGGTAAGGTATTAGATATGTGGAATATATTGAATTAGGCTTTAGTAAGTAGCCCACTGATAGATATTAAGTCTAGGAATAGACTATCTTGGTAAATGATTAAATATGATTTTATTATTTATTAATATGGGAGTTATAAATTAGGGAAATGTATATTTGGCTGCCATTATTGAATAAAATATTATTGAAAGGAATTAAGCATGAAGTTGAGTCAGGGTTAAGGAAAGAATATACTGGTAAGATATTTAAATGTGAGATTAGGGTTTAAGTATTAAATCAGGGTAAGGTAAAAGGTCCATTGACCCAGATGTTAGGATTACGTAAGGGTAAGTGTCTGGGTTAGGCCACGTAAAATGAATGTAAGTCAATGAAATGTTCCCATTAGTCATGAATACAAACAAACCATAGACTGCTGGAGACCATGATCCTGAAGGATAAGTGGGAGAAGATGGATGGATTGATAATGGCAAGGTCGATCGAACTATAAAACATGAAAATATTGGAAGAAAAACTGTGAGTAGATTTAAAATAATGAATTCACCATTCAGCCAACTAAATATAACACAGAACCACAGAACACAAATATTTATATTTATAGAATCAGAATCAGAAATACTTTAATTTTATACAATATATACAAAAGTAGAGGGTCTCGCTCCATCCCGCTATCAGTTTGGGGGTCCTTGGCCTGGAAAACTTTTTAGGCCCCTGTCCTAAAGTCTTGCAGCTGAAGAAATACTGGTACAGAAGGAACTGGTTACCAAGATGCATAACACACCTCAGACTTTTATATTTAAATCGAAATATATCTAATGTTTAAAATAAAAATGTTCATGCATCCCTCTCTGCTCTGGGTAGTTGGGGTGATCAGAGGTGTAGCCAGAATTTTTTTTAAGGGTGGTCAGGCAATAACCAGTGTAAATGTGGCCGAAAGTTGATAGGTACCAGAACCTCAGGGTCAATCTACAACAGGAAAATTAACAGGTCAAACATCCATATTTTCTAAATAAAGAATAACTATACTTTTCTACAACTTTTGCTGACAAATAGAAACAAATATTTAAACATCTGTGCTTTTTTTATAAAATGTATAGTGGATACAATTCTTTGAGGTTTGAGTTTTGGGCCAACATCTTTTCCATTGTCATTTACCTACTTTTCTCAATAATCATTCTGCATAAAATTGATATTTACAAGTACTAATATATACATAAATTGATTATTTAATACATTTTCATCATAATAGCTATTTATAAATAATTTTATTGAAGACTCTTAGATGACTTTACCCCATATAACACAAAATCTAGTTCTGAAAAACGCATTAATTCTGTACTTATTATCTTTAATGTTAGTATATTGCTGTGCAGAATTAACCGCAGTGTACTCCCCTGGGTGCTCAAAGCTTGTTCCAACCAGCTGTGTGGAATATTTAGCCTAGTCTTCAGTCTGAGCATGCTCCTCCAGAGAGTCCCCGTGCTGTGGAAGACGTCCTACCTCGTTCCGGTGCCAAAGACGTCGCGCCCTAGCGACCCTCAGGACTACAGACCGGTAGCACTGACGTCTCATATCATGAAGACCTTTGAGAGGCTAGTCCTGGAGCAGCTAAGGCCCATGGCCAGGCCCTTCACTGATCCACTACAGTTCGCCTACCTGCCCCGCCTCTTCTAAACAGAGTCTACACTCACCTGGACAAGCCGGCGAGCACTGTGAGAATCATGTTCTTTGATTTCTCCAGTGCCTTCAACACCATCCGCCCGGCTCTACTAGATGAGAAGATGACTGCGATGCAGGTGGAGGCCCCCATCGTGTCCTGGATTGTTGATTACCTGACGGGCAGACCACAGTATGTACGCCTACTGAACTGTGTGTCTGACAGGGTGGTCAGCAACACTGGGGCGCCTCAGGGGACTGTCCTCTCCCCCTTCCTCTTCACCCTTTTCACCTCGGACTTCAGCTATTGCTCTGAGTCCTGCCACCTTCAGAAGTTTTCTGATGACTCGGCAATTGTTGGCTGCATTGAAAAGGGTGAGGAGAGTGAATACAGGACTGTGGTGGGGAACTTTGTCACTTGGAGTGAGCTGAACCACCTGCACCTCAACGTGACAAAGACTAAGGAGCTAAAAGTGGATCTGAGGAGGACAAAAACACCTGTGATCCCTGTTTCCATCCAGGGGGTTCCTGTTGACACTGTGGAGGAGTATAAGTAACTGGGAGTGTACTTTAACAATAAGTTGGACTGGACTAGTAACACCGAGGTGGTCTACAAAAAGGGCCAAAGCCGACTACTCTTCCTGAGGAGGCTGAGGTCCTTTAACATCTGTGGGACGATGCTGAGGATGTTTTATGAGTCTGTTGTTGCTAGCACGCTCTTCTTTGCTGTCACATACTGGGGCAGTGGGCTGAGGGTTGCTGAAAACAACAGACTGAACAAACTGATCAAGAGGGCCGGTGATGTTGTGGGGGAGCAGCTGGACACTCTGACCACCGTGGCAGAGAGGAGGATGCTGTCCAGGTTTCAGTCCATAATAGACAATGACTCACATCCTCTCTAAGACACACTGGTCCAGCAGATGAGCTCCTTCAGCAGAAGACTCCTCCTACCCAGATGCACCACAGAGCGCCACAGGAAATCATTCAACCCCCCCCCCCCCCCCCCCCCGTAATTGACATTTATGCACTATTTTTGCACGCCACCTATCACTTTACTTGGACTTTTCACTTTATTTGGATTTAGTTTTTACATATGCATAGATATACGTACAGATATATACAGAAGAGCTGTATGTGTATATATTTTATCTCTGTATATATTTTATCTCTTTATTCTTATTTTTATATTTTTATTATATTGTATAGTTGGATGTGTGTATATATCATGTAAAACTGTAACTGGAGCGTGTAACAAAAGTAATTTCCCTCTGGGATTATTAAAGTATTTCTGATTCTGATTTGTTGTCAACTAATTTTTAATATATAAAAGTTTCAATGTTTTAAATATTCCACTTTAGAGTAGTACTGCTGCCAGCATTTTTATTAGAAGGGGGAAAAAATGGTTGGGGTGGCCACAGGGGTGGCAAATGATTGGCTAAGGGTGCCATTACCACCCCTGGGCCCCCATCTGGCTCCGCCCCTGAGAGTGATGATAGAGCAGCTGATTTACCAAGTTGACTTGCAGGATAGGCCACGCCCCCTACAGGTGATCTGCTGCTACCTTGTCAAAGTCAGACTTCCCACAGCTGAGTGGAAGTGGTGAACCCAAACAGTAAAGCTTTTGTTCAGCTTTATTTTCCGAAACTGAACATTAGAGCCGCTCCGGTCGGTAATGTGACTCCTGTTTGAGTCCGCCTCTTTTTTTTCAGTTAAACCGGTTTATCCTCCTCACCTCTGGGAGGAAAAGGAAGTGAAGAACTGAGCTGAACAAGTTAAACCAACTCCTCTGGTGTTGTTTCGCTGTAATCCTGCTTTTATAGGCATTTGTTGTTTTGTCTGACTGCTCGGCTGAGGTAGGCTGTTTTCGCTTAGTTTGCTTTCTCTGTTGCCCCGCATTCCTCCGCATGTAACGCAATGTAAGATCACTGCAGAAAGCAGATTGGAGGAGAAGTTAGGAAATATCCTAAAAGCACATCTGCTCAGTTTAGATTTCCTCCTGTTAAAAGAGATTTATTTCTTTGTGTTATTATCAACAGAACGATAGATCTTACCTCCACCCCACACCACCAATCAGCCTCTGTGTTTAGATTGAAATGAAATATCCTATCGAAGATATCTTGGTGTGTCATGAAGTACTGATGTGTATATCTATTTGATGTGATGACCTCATTATTTATGGCTGTTTCAGCACCATGAACATGTTCAGAAGAGGTAAGGGGTCAGCCCAGAGCCCTGAAGTCCCACCCAGACCCACTGAAGAGGTGAGAATCCAGGACATTGAGGCCCAATCAGGCTTTACATTATGACCTCTGACCTTACACAACAGGTATAGGCAGCAAAGACCCTGATGGTGCGAAATCTAACCTCTAAAATATCATGAACCATTCTGGAATAATTCCAGGATGTTTTATCCTGCTGAGATGTCAACAGCCATTAAGGAAAATCTCCCCGTTGAATGGTTTTACACAAGGGTGTAACTTTGTGATGAATATTGGTGGGGGCGCTCTAACTTACTTACCGTACTTACTTACTACAGTTTGTATTTTCCAAAAATGAGCTCAAACATATATTTATTGAATGCTTTCCTATTGTTGAGAACACAAGAAAACCATAATATGCTGATATTTATATTTATAGATAGTTAGAGAGATGCCTTTTATTGCATTATATTAAATAACAAATAACAGCCGACTCCGATGCCAAAATCCCTAGAAGTACAATTCTAATTCCATCCATCCAGAAAAATATGAATATGCTGCATTTTAAATATAGCAGATTTTCTTTCTTGTAAACTTTGTGGTAAACCTAGAAGTATATTTTATTGCATGTTGCATAGCCCAGTAAATCTGTTCTACCTTTAAATCTGCAGCTCTCCCTAATTCTCTCTGTGCTCTGTTTAAAAAAGGTTTATGAACCTCTTTACTTATATAATGATGCTGGAAACAAAATTTGTAGATATGTAGAAGCTCTGCTGTCTGATTGTGCGTGTTAATTTTATCCTGTAACTGGGAGTCATGGTCCTCTGCGAAGCCAAGCTTTTTTTAACTACTAAAGAACAAACTATAGCTTCTCAAGTTTCTTACATTGTAATACTACACTGTATAAATGTGTAATTTGTTGCCGTTTTAGCTGAGAAAGCTCCGTATGATTTACGGTTAGGATTCTTCATGGGATATCTAATTTTTTTTAACCAAGCCGTCTCCTAAGTTTTAGTTAAACATACATCAAAGAAGCTGTCAGTTAATGCTGCTGTGTTTCTCTCCTCCAACCACGTAGCCACTCTGTACACAGTGAAATGTGACTGCAAATCCGATGCCTCAAAGCAACAGATCTGATGATGCTACACCGATAGGCGGGACATGGTAGCAGTGCGAGAGAGGAAAAAAACAGACTGAAAACGCTCTGAACACAGCTGCACCCATCCTTTTTCACCTTTGGCTAAAGGAAATGAGCGGAAATGGGGGGAAAAAAGCTGAAATTATTGGTGGGGACATGTCCACACCAGTCCTTCAGAAAGTTACGTCTGTGGTTGTACATGATCTACAGCAGAGGTTCACAAACTATTCAGCTTCTGACCTACAGAATGTCGACCGATGACCCAAACCATTGGTTTAGTGAACAAACATTTTATTGATATCAATTAATGATGGATGTCATAATATTAGTGTCAAACATAATAGCTGGTTTTGTCCATTTTCAGCGATGCTTCAGGTTCTTTTAGCACTTAAATATGCATGTTCTTTCTGTAGCGGATCTCAGGACCATGTGCTGGTTGATCCAGGACCCCAACTTTGGAAATGATTGAATGCTTTGGAAATGCAGGACAGCCTCCCGTGGCTCACCTCTGGTGCCATCCAGATGCTTGAAAACCAAAAACCCGATTCATCAAATCAGGCAGCGTCCTTCTGTTGCTCCATGCTGTATTTCTGGTGCCTACAGGCTCATTGTTGACATTTTAGCAGTTGGGTCATGAGTCAGCAGAGGTAGCATGACTGCTTTACAGCCCCATTCACAACAAAATGCCGTGTGCTATTTAGTTAGACTCCTTTTTATCAGAAATTGGGTTGACTTCTAAAACTGGAGCTAGAGTGGTTGGTCTGTTGCATCACAAAAACTCAGGCCATCTACCTCTGACCCGGATGCCTGATGGTGCACACTGCAGACTGAACCACACCTTGATGAGGCAAGTTTATTTAAATAGCACATTTCACTAGTGAGGAAAAAATCTACCTTCTATGGAGCAGAAAAATTAAAAGTACATTAGTGACATAAAGTTATTTATCCTATTTTAATCTCTAAAATGAAATAATATAAAAATATTGATTAAAAATATTGATTAATACATGTTAAATGTTAAAACCTTGCTAATATTAAGCTGTCAAAGGCCACTAAACAAAACAGTTTTATGAACAATTCGTAGCAACTAAGGATTTCTAAGGATTCTTCTGGGAGTTTTTTTTTTTTCCAGATTAATGAATTAAACTAAGAACTAAAAGCTGCTTCCTTATATTTTGTTCTGTGTAGATTTGAGCCAGAACATCTGAACAGTTTGGGCAAATCTGTAATGTCTTTGGGTGCTAAGGCATTCAGTGGTTATTAGACTGACTTAAGTATTTAGAAGCATCTTCTCTCAGAAAAAGGGAGCCAGAGATTAAAGGTCCTGCTAAGAAATTGGTTCTTTAATCCTGCAGATGTGCTTTAGATGATAAAGGGTTGACGTTGTTACTGAATTTGTGTTTTTGAATTTCCATCACGATCTAGGGGGAGCATGTAGATGTTGATTAAAAGGGGCCCTAAAATGGACCCTTGGGGAACGCCACAAGGGATTTTTGTAGTCTCTGAAATAAAGTTACTGATTGACACCAAAAGGCCCTGTCCTTCAATGAGGATTCAAACCGGTGCAGTGCTGTACCAGAAAGGCTGAACCAGTTGTATAGGTGCTATAATAAAAGGAAATGATCAACAGTGTCAAAGGAAAGCTCTTTTGTCTACACCTTGAAGCTTTCCCTCTCTTTCTTTCTCTTCGTTTTCCTGAAATGAGATCACTCAGGACAAACTCTTTGAGTAACACTTCATAACCTATATGTATTAACCATGAGACATGACAACAGATTTTTATAGAAATTGTAATCTTACTCAGATCAGAGAAGTTGCTTCGGGTTACAGAAGGCAGCTGCTAACCAACCGAGCTCACTTTTCGAGAAGTATCCCGGACAAACGGGTAAAGAAGCATTTTATACTTCAGTATGCCACAATATCACATCACTACATCAGACACGTTTGCAGATGAGTATACACCCATGACTCCAGGGTTATCAAAATATTACACTTTGTTCTTGGCTGAAGAATACCGCTCTCATTCCATTCCTGAATCTTTGCCACGTACAAAATGAACATTACAACTGTATATAGCCTAACTGAGGAACTGGCCTAATTAGATAAGCTACTGGGGAAACTTCAGTTCCGACATGCAACATGCAGGTAATATTGGGGTGTAAGAACACATCATCAATTATAATTATCCTAACAACCATGTGGAATGCAGCATTAAGGTCCATTAATCCCAGCACAGTGGTTCTCCAATGGTCTGCATTCATACAGATGTTGTTGAACACTTTGACAAGGTCTGGATAATGTTAAATTTTTTGTCTTTTCATTTTCACCTTAGCTGCCACTGGTCGTAATGTTATATCTATTTAGTTTGTATTTCTCATAAAAAAAGCCTTTTTATTTATTTCCAGGAGCTGGAAAATCCTATCAGATACAGCATAAAAACACCCGATCCAGAATCAAATGCGGCCTCAGAGGTAAGTGTTAAAAGATTATTATGAAACTGGGCAAGATGGTGACCTTGCATATGTCCTTTCTTCTAGGAAAACAGAGAAGACACAGATGATCTCTACCCAAAGACAAAGGTGAGCCTCCTCTAATCCATGGACCCATTATTGTTTGTTTAATGTTTGCTGTCGTTTATGGATGTTTTCTTGCGTTTCCTTCGGGAACGGCAGAGAACGGGAGTGATGGGGGTTGTGCAGAAGGTGAATCCTTTCAAATCCACCTCAAAGGTAGAACCACAAACTTTTCCTGAAGACATATGATATTGTGTGTCACCCATTGTCTTTCAGTTTTCAGCTTGTTTTTTTTCTGCTACTCAGACCTCCTCATCAGTGTCGAATATCAGCAAAACTCCTTCCTCTGAATCACTAGAACAGGCGACGGACTCCACTCAGGTGAGATCAGCTTTGTTTTCTCACTATGTTCTCCCTTAGGAGGGAAAGAAAATGGCTGCCCTAGAATCACAGGTGGGGAGTAACAAGATACATTTACCTAACTTTTAGAAAAAAAAAAAAGCTATAGTTTAGCTTGTACTTTTAGCTGTAGTGTTACTTTCTGTAATTTTCCACTTCAGTAACAATCTTGTGACAGTATCGCCACTCTATTAAGTTTGTAATTCCTCCACCCACCTGCAATAACTTGAGCTTTTTTATAGATCAGGTGAAAATATAGTAAACAGTAGATATTGATTCTAGAAATTATTTTTCCTTTCCTGACATACATACTGTTATGACTGGTTTTATAAGTTTATTTAAAAAAAAAAATTTGTAAATATATTTCTTCACCCTGAATTTATTTTGGATTCATGTTAATTTATACATAAATCTGTGTCTGATTAGATTATTTTAACATTAAGTTGGGTCTTACAAATAACAAATTAACAGGTACTTTTTTTTACTAATAAGTAATTTCTTAGATAACTGCTTTCTATTTTCTAATAAAAATAAGTAAAAGTAGAGATTTTGTCTCAAACTATAATCTTAGTCTATCTAGAGAAGTTGCTTAGAGTTACAGAAGGCAGCGCTTACAAACCAGGTTTACATCTCGTTAAAGAAGCATTTTATATAATTCCATTATGCCACTTCATCCCATTAGTACATCATACATCTTTGTAAACAGTGATGGGAGTAACAGCATTTAAAGTAACGGCTTTACTAATGCCGTTCCATTGTTTTAGTAACGAGTAATCTAACTAATTACTTTGACTGTAACTATAACGCAGTTACCATTGCAGACACCCCGTTACTGCACATTACTCAGGTCGCACGATGAACCTTTTTTCATGATAGGACTCGTGCGCGCCTTGTCATGAGAGAGGGGAGGATGAGATTGGCTGATGTATAGAGAGATTACGTCTGTCAGTTGGGTAGGTGGGTGTTTCTGCTGGTGGGTGTTAACGTACAGCACACACAGAAAGATGGAGAGTGAGGAGGACTCCAGCAGCAAAACAGTGTTTCCAGATGGAAATACTGATGTAACGTTGAGCTGCGTTTCCCCATCAGATGCGGTTTCCCCTGCATCTCCGCAAGGCGCAGGCGGCACGATTCACAGCGCAAGCGACAGGAAACGCGCATGCTCGCTAAAGGTGTGTAACAACCGCCCGGTGCTCGCGCCACAGCGAAGCTACGGAGAGCTTGAACGATTAAATGTTAGTCTATATGGAGAAAGGGAGAAATCTGGATGGATAGATGGACGGATAGCTGGATGGACAGATAGATAGATGGATGTTGCAGTATCTATAACAACCCAAACACACAGAATTTCAGATTTAGACATCCCCAGTTATTAATTTCATACACTCACCAGATCTGAACGCCCTGTTAAAAAACTTCACACCCATGAGTAGAAGTAATGCAGCCTGATACCATTCCCCCCATTTTAAGATGGGGGAACGCTATCTGATGGGGTTTATTGGCCCGTCAGATACCGTTCCCCCCTGATGTCATTTACGTTTAGTTGCAATAAACGCAAAACTCTCTGCAGGTTCTTGTCTTTGTCATAAACTCTATTCAGCTGGCTTTTGAAACACAAAGCGAGAAGGTGGGGGCGGATGGTGAGGGTTACCGGGGCGAGAAACGCAAAAATAACGCAATAGTTGCTTTTACTAGTAACTAGTTACTTTTATTGTGGAGTAACTCAGTTAGTAACTCAGTTACTTTTTGGGGAAGTAACTAGTAACTATAACTAATGACTTTTTCAAAGTAACGTACCCAACACTGTTTATAAATGAGAAGACATCCATGGCTCCAGCCTCATCAAAATATCACACTATGTTTTTTAGATCAAGGACACCGCTCTCATTCCATTACCAAATCGTTGCAACAAACATAATGAAGATGACCTTTTAGCCTGACAGAGGAACTGTCCTAATTAATTCAATTCAATTCAGTTTATTTATATAGCGCCAAATTCACAACACATGTCATCTCAAGGCACTTTACAGTTCAACCAGATCATACAGTCAAATTGATACAAAGTTTTCTATCTAAGGAAAACCAGTTGATTGCATTGACTCATTGACTCAAATACAATCCCCCACACTAAGCATGCTTGTAGCGACAGTGGAGAGGAAAAACTCCCTTTTAACAGGAAGAAACCTCCAGCAGAACCAGGCTCAGTGTGAGCGGCCATCTGCCGAGGCCGACTGGGGTTCAAGGAGACAGAAGCAGAGATACAAAAAGCAGCTGTAAAAGGCGGCCCCGTCCAGGAAACACACAGCCAGGCAGACGAGCTCCAAGGCAGCTCCCATGCCAGAGGACGAAGAGAGCACATCCACTCAGTCACGGTCAGAGAAACAGGACCACACTGGAAAACAGGCCGATCTCCAACATCTATTAACAAGGGTGTTGATAGAAGCAGCACAGCTGATGTTTTTTTCCAGGATGACGTCACAGCCAAACAGGAACAGACGAGGCAAAGCTACTCTGAGGAAAAGCAGAGAGAGCAGAAGGTTAGAGATTGAACTAACAGATTCTGCAGAATAGGAGAACAGAGAGAGAATGAAGCAGAATGATGAAATGGGGGTCCCTATGTCCTCCAAAAGTCTAAGCCTATAGCAGCATAACTATAGAGATAGCTCAGGATAACCTGAGCCACCCTAACTATAAGCTTTATCAAAAATGAAAGTTTTAAGCCTAGCCTTAAAAGTAGACAGGGTGTCTGCCTCACGGACTAAAACTGGTAGTTGGTTCCACAGGAGAGGAGCCTGATAACTAAAAGATCTGCCTCCCATTCTACTTTTAGAAATTCTAGGAACGATTAGTAAACCTGCAGATTGAGAGCGAAGTGCTCTGTTAGGAACATAAGGAACAATCAGATCTCTGATATAAGATGGAGCTTGGCCATTTAAGGCTTTATATGTGAGAAGGAGGATTTTAAATTCTATTCTTGATTTAACAGGAAGCCAATGAAGAGAAGCCAGGATAGGCGAGATATGATCTCTCTTTTTAATTTTCATTAGAACTCTGGCTGCAGCATTTTGGATCAGCTGAAGGCTTTTAACTACAGTTTGTGGACTTCCTGATAGTAAAGAATTACAATAGTCCAGCCTTGAAGTAACAAATGCATGGACTAGTTTCTCAGCATCACCCCTGGACAGGATATTTCTAATTTTTGCAATGTTCCTCAGATGAAAGAAGGAAATTCTAGAAACCTCTTTGATATGGGATTTAAATGACAGGTCCTGATCAAAAATAACACCAAGATTTTTTACTTTATTATCTGAAATCAGTTTAATCCCATCCAAATGAAGTGACTGGCTAATCAGTTTCTTTTTCAGAGACTCTGGTCCAAAGACTATAACTTCTGTTTTGTCTGCATTCAGAAGCAGAAAGTTAAGAGTCATCCAGGTTTTTATGTCTTCAAGACATGCCTGTAATCTATGTAATGGGTTAGCTTCATCCGGATTTATAGACAGATATAGCTGGGTATCATCAGCATAACAGTGGAAATTAATCCCATGCTGTCTAATAATTCTACCAATTGGGAGCATGTATAAAGTAAAGAGAATTGGTCCTAGCACTGATCCCTGTGGTACTCCACAGGTAACCTTTGAGCGTGTTGAAGATCTATCATTAACATGAACAAACTGAATTCGATCAGATAGATAAGATTTAAACCAGTCTAGTGCTGTTCCTTTAATTCCAACAAAATATTCAAGTCTTTCTAAAAGAATATTATGGTCAACTGTATCAAATGCAGCACTAAGATCCAACAGGACGAGCACAGATACAAGTCCATTATCTGAGGCCATGAGAATATCATTAGTGACTTTCACCAGAGCTGTTTCAGTGCTATGATGAGCTCTAAAGCCAGACTGAAACTCTTCAAAAAGTTCATTATGGTGGAAGTGATCGCAAACTTGTTTGGCAACTACTTTCTCAAGAATTTTGGATAAGAAAGGAAGATTGGATATAGGTCTATAATTGACCAAGTCATCTGGGTCAAGAGACGGTTTCTTAAGCAGAGGTTTAATTACAGCAACCTTAAAAGCTTTAGGTACATATCCCTGTAACAGAGATAGATTAATCACATCTAAAATGGAGGAGGAGATCAAAGGGAATACCTCCTTAAATAACCTGGTTGGAACTGGATCTAACATACAAGTTGAAGGCTTAGATGAAGACAATAATTTTGCTTATTCAGAGAGTTCAACTGGATCAAAGCAGTCTAAACCCGGTTCAGATTCCATGACTTAGATAAACTAATGAGATAACATTAGATCTGACATGCAACAGGCAGGTAGTATTAGGGTTTAACAGACTCACACATCATCTGAGGAGTAAAAAATGTTCTTAGCATTAAACTTGGTCATCAAGTCTCCATTTTTATTTCATGTGTTCCCATAATTCATGACTGTTACAAATGACTGTTAACCAATTTTATTTTTTGCAACAAGCTAATTGAAATCTAATAACACTAAAACCTTATCCTGACTAATGGTTTAGAAAGGCAAACTGTAATTCCATGTAAATACTGTAGGTTACCTCATCTGGTGGTGGTGTAGTTTGGTTTCAAGTTTAGTAATTAAATGGGAATATATTAGGCCTGTTACAAGTGTTTTATGTGAAAAAACCCCAAAATACATTGCAGATGAACCAAAAGGCACTTTCACTCCTTATGGAAACTTTTAAGTCAGTTCAGCTCAGTGAGAATAAACGTCACTTCTGTTTTAGAACCCTGGGAAACTGAAAGGTGTCATGCAGAAAGTGAACCCTTTCAAGTCTTCCTCCAAGGTAACGGCAGTCTTTTCCTGGCTGAGTGGTCTCACTGAGCTGGGTTTTTACTGACTTTCTTCTCTCACACAGGTGTCCAAAGCTCCGTCTTCAGACTCACTGGAACAAGAAAAGGATCTGGACTCATCTCAGGTAGGAAACAAAGCATCCCTAGAGAAGAGCAGTCTTTATTTCAGACTTTTGTTCCTTTTCCTTTACCCTATCTAGGATCACACTCATGTTAAATCATTCTTTGTTCTTTAACTGTGCTTTATTTCTTTCAAACAATAGTTTTGGCTTTTTTAAAGGAAGGAAAATTACTCTAACCATAACGGCAGTTTCCCTTAGGAGGAAGTGAGTAAAGCAGATCTTTGATCTGAAAGTGCCTTTCTAGTCACTCCGCCCACTAGGACTAACTAGAGATATTGGGAGATCAGGGGAAAATACAGTAAAAGTATAAATTGTTAAATTTCGTTTTCTGAATTTGTTTATTTTTATAGTACAAATTCAAAACATATCATCTCAAGGCACTTTACAGAGACATTTCAACCAGATCATACAGTTTGATTGCTTCGAAGTAGAAAACAGAATTGAATAATAGAGAAAGAATGAAGCAAAATGATGAAAAGGGGTCCCTATGTCCTCCAGCAGTCTAAGCCTATAGCAGCATAACCATAGAGAGTTCAGGATAACCTGAGCCACTCTAACTATAAGCTTTATTAAAAAGGAAAGTTTTAAGCCTAATTCTAAGTATGCAAGTTTAATTTCATACTTTATAAGGCCTTTCTCAAATTAACAATTTTTTTTAATCAACCATCATAAAAGTCCTGGAGGATGAAGTGAGTGTAAGTGTCAAAAGTAGAAAGTTCGACCTAAAGCAGAAGTTTACATACAAAACTCATTATTTTTTCTGTAACAAAGGAAGTAAAAAAAAAAAAAAAAAAAGAATTGCAATAAAAACATCTTGGTTACATATGTAGTAAGTTTGTGTCCATCCAAAAAATAACTGAGAACTTATAGATGTTTAGATAAAAAAAAAAAAGTCCAGGCAGACCCCTACTGAAATTTTTAGTTTATTGTAGAAATTTAAACATAAGGAATGATCAGATCGATAAAACAGGGGCTATGTGTCTGGGAAGGAGGAGTTTCAATTCTATTTAGGATTTAACAGGAAGCAATGAAGAGAAGCCATAGGAGAACTCGGGCTTTAGCGTTTTGGATCAGCTGAAGGCTTTTAAGCATTTTTTTTAGGACTTCCTGATTGTAAAGAAATACAGCATTCCAGCCTTGAACTAACAAATGCATAGGCCAGTTTCTCATCATCACCCATTGACAGAATATCTCTTTTTCTTTCAATATTCTTGAGCTGAAAGAAGGATATTCTAGAAATCTTTGATGTGGGATTTAAATGACAGGTCCTGATTTAAAAAAATAAACAGGAACAGTTCAGATAAAGCTACTTAGATGAGAAAAAGCAGAGAGAGCAGAATGTTAGAGGTTGAGCTAACAAATACTGCTGAATGGGAGAACAGAGAGAGAATGATGACAAGGGGTCCCTATGTCCTAGAGCAGTCTAAGCCTATAGCAACATAACTATAGAGGCGGCTCAGGATAACCTCAGCCACTGTAACTTTATCAAAAAGGAAAGTTTTAAGCGTTGCCTTAAAAGTAGACAGGGTGTCTGCCTTATGTTCTAAAACTGTGGTTGGTTCCAGAGGAGCAGAGCCTGATAACTAAAACATCTGCCTCCCATTCTACTTTTAGAAATTCTAGGAACCACTCGTAAACCTGCAGATATAAGACAGAGCTTGGCCATTTAATGCTTTATATGGGAGAAGGGTTTTTTTTTTTTATTTACTCCGGATTTAACTGGACTTAATATCATCTGTCTTTGATTTTTCATAAGAACTCTGGCTGCAGCATTTTCCATCAACTAAAGGCTTTTAACTACAGTTTGTGGACTTCCTGATAGTAAAGAATTACAATAGCCCAGCCTTGAAGTAACAAATGCATGGACTAGTTCCTCAGCATCACCCCTAGACAGGATATTTCTAAATTTTGCAATATTCTGAAGCGGTTTTCTCTGCATTTAGAAGCTGCTACAAACTTCATGCCATGCCTGTTGCTTATTTAAGGTCAATGAAAGTTCTTCATCCTTTCACCACTTGTGTGCAGTACCTGCTGTAAAGATTTCTTTCTATGTTGGAAACATATTTTGGACAAGCATTTCTTTATTTTTAATCATTTTTTTCTATTTTCTATTTTAGAATGCCAAAATTTGTATACAAATCTCTGATTATGTCTTGTTTAACATTACATCAGATGTTATTAAGCAGCAATTACTCAGTACGTGAGAAGCAAGTACCGGTAGTAGAATTCCACACCCTAAACCTCTCTTGGTCAAATGTTAGGCTTGATGCAATGCTCTGGAGGTACACAATATATCTAATTGCAATAAGTTAAAAACTGCCTGGATGCAATATTTGCTAAGGTGTGACATGCCTTAATATTCTAAATGCCACAAGTGGAAAGAGATGTTACAGCCATGGAAGGATGGGAAGGAATATGTTTTATGGCAAAGGCTGGAGCATTAGGTTTTGATCATGACTGAATTCACTGAGTTTTAGACATTAGATTATCTGACAGAGGTGCTTTTTACCCCTGCATTCAACACTTTGCACCACTCACTAGTGATTTAGCTGCTTGTTAATGGATGTCCAGTCCATGAAGCTCTCTACCAAATGTTCTTGAGCTACTTTGAAGGCCTCTGATGGACCCAGTTCAGCATGACATGTTTGATGCTTTATGACAGAGAGCCAATTAGGCATGATTGGTGTAACATGAGAGTAAAGGATTAAGTTGATTAAGTTGTGACAGAAAAAAATGAATGATGAATTCTTTAGAATATTATGTGACCTTGGATAAAATTGCTTCAAAATCCCAAGCATTATCTATCTAAGCTATTTTTTTCCATTACAGTTGAAGGCAAAAAACAAACTGAAACTGAAACACCATCTATGTTCATATTGACTTTTCTCCACTCAGAACACCTAGGTTGTTTTTGTTAGCACAGTAAAAGTAAGTGAAGTCTCGTATTAAAACTTTTTTTATATTAATGATGATGCAGTGACTGTCCACAGGATTATTTCCTTTAAGGTGCTGCTTAAGCAGCTGGTTTAAATGAGTTGAGTTTTCTCTCAGCCTCCACATGTTAGCCTTTTCATGTAAAAGAATCCTCTACAGCATTTTGTTACATTCCTGTTATACATAGCTGCACAATATGGATTTTTTTACCCTTTTATTGCTATATGCATTCATAAATATCACATAATTTACCGAAGCATTCACTCCACCTGAATTACAAACAATGATGTACTTTATTGGGGTTCAACAGGATTCATGTTAAGTAAGGATCTAGGAAAAGTGGTGTGTACATTAACTTTCAGTCTCCTTTAATTTCAATGAAAGCAAATAAAGTACTTACAGGGGTCACTTCATTTTGAATCTAGCAGTTCTGTAAAGATCTGAGTTTTGTCGTTGATTATTAATGAAGAGAATGGAATCAGGAAGACTAAGAAACCCACTGGGCAGGGCAGAGACAGTTGTTGTATTACAGTAGGTTTGAAAAAGCTTTTCTTATGCAGAAAGGGGTAGTGGTAAGTCAATGTAAAGATGGGTAGACCTGAATTTCTACAAGATCTAAGCAGCTGACTGACACATTGTGCCACATTAGGTTGAAATCTGTCAGTCGTTTCGAGCTAATAAAAGTTCTCCAAACAGATGATTCTTTCTTGACAAATGACTTCCTTGAAGATGGTAATACATGTGATTAGTTTGTCTTTGACTAACTGGTGCTTGTGTTGCAGAACCCTGGTTCGTTCAAAGGAGTCATGCAGAAAGTCAACCCCTTCAGATCTTCTGCACAGGTACTAACTCGAGTTTTCTGTTTACCGTACATCCTTGAAAGGTAATTGTTAATACCATTCCCAATCTTACATTTTTTACTTTCATCAGTTATTTTATTTTTTTATTTATTCAGTTTTCCTTTTTCTTTTTTCGACGACTCAAGAGGTTAGTCAAAACTCAACATTAGTAGAAATGCTCCTCAAGACATAGTGTCAGCATCCCAGTTTCATTTACTTAAAAGAAAATAAAAACACTTTAATAAGCTTGTGACTCAAAGTCAGCATAAATTAAGAGAATAAAAGATAATTATTATTCATATTATCATAATAAAATAAATGTTAATAATAATAATAATAATAATAATAATAATAATTATTATTATTATTATTATTACTAAAGAAAGATAAAATGATTTTAAAAAGTTGCTCTAAAAACTTGAACACTAATATTTAGATGGCATAATAATAGACGACTCTGAACAAATATGTTCTTAATCCTAATTTAAAGCAGGGATGGGGAACCTTTTTCACCTCGAGGGCTAATTCAATTTTTATAAAGTACTTCAAGGGCCTTACAATTTTAGTGTCATACATTCTAGCATTCATATAACAGAGGAATGACTGAAAGGATGGGGGAGCATAGTTTCTATGCATGTCAGACTTACCTAAAGCGATGGCCTGAACTGTTAATCTTTGGTGAGGCGTCTGATGTCAGCAGGTAGTGATGATGATACAACTCAAAGCTGGTTTTCCAAGTTTGGGTCAGTCATCCTTCAGTGGAGAATGGTCTTGGCAAAAGTCAGTTTTAAAAAAAGCAGTTTTCAGCAGTATGTTGTCCCAAACAGAGCTGCATATTTCAGGGCATGTGTCCTCATCACCATCATACAGCTTGCAAAAGTCATGTAGAGGGAGGTTGTTGTATTTAGCTTTGATCTCCCTGTTGCTTTGCAGCTCAATTGGAGGTTTTGCTTGCAGCTCAATTGGAGACATCAGCTGGTTGCACATTGGGTGGTATAGCAAACATAAACAGTTCTTTTTGTACATTTTTCACATCACAAAACCTCTCATCAAATGCCTTAATGAGTTCTGCACACTCTCCAGGCCATTCTGTTGTGACATCAGGCTGTTGTTTTTGCAGAGTGGGAAAGTGCACAGTGTTTCCCCTTTCCAGTTGTGTTTACCAAAGCCTTATCTTCAAATTATTTCACACTTGAAAGATGTGATGAGCTGTTGGGACCTTGCAGCTTGGTGTTTAGCTCTGACAGGTGCATCGTAATCTCCACCATGAATTCAAGGCATCTTCACAGACTCTCTTGATGTACGATGCAAAGACATAATATTAAGACATTTGGATCTAGACTCAAGAGGATTATTCCTTTGTGACTAATGGAGTCATCCCTTTTTGTTCACTTACCATTGTGGGTGCTCCATCATTAGCGATGGCGCTTAACTTCTCAAACCTTCAAACTGATTTAAAACAGGGGAAGTGTTGAAATAGGCCTGTAGTTCTGCAGTTTTAGCTTATCCAAGTTCTACTTTTGTAACAGCAGTTTGATAATTGCTGTTTTAAGGCCATGATAGGAAATGGACCTGTTTATATTTTGAGTTACATCAAATGTATTACAGACATAGCTTTCTTAAGAAAAGCTGTGGGTAAAACATTGAGGTACTACCTCAATGTCTCAGTCTCAGAAGAAAGAATATTTTGCTTATTTGAGTTGTTTGTTCTATCTTTACAGATGTAATGAACATGAAGTCCAAACTCTTATGATCTGCATCCAGCGTTTTAACACCCCTTTTATTCCAGGAGCACTTCGGCATAGACTTTTTCTTTTTTTCTTTTTTGTTCCCAGAAACGACTTAAACTTTAATTGGGGTAATTGAATAAATGGTGTCTGAGATTTTTAAATAAAAGTTATCTACTAGCTAAACAAAAGAGTTAGAGGGAACTCTCAACTTCCACCTCAACTCACTGAAATGCAATTAAAAAGTAGTTTTAACTCTTAAGGTGTGGACTTAGTTTATGTGCATGAATACCTTGACAGGTGTAAGAGCTAAGATCAGAAATCATTACTGTAATTGGTTATTTTTCTTTTTTAAGGCATTTCTAGGAAACAGCCTAATCTTTTATATTATTATAATTACCTTCTATCTTTTTGTTGGAGCAGCCAAAACATGAAGCTCCAGTTGATTCTTCAAACATACAAGAGCCTGATGGAGACCTTCAAGAGAAACAGGTAAGCACCAAACTCCTCTGTCTTTTCAAGGTTATCTCTGTGTCTGCTGCAGAGTTTCTGATGCCTCCTTTTTTTAATTATTTTCCCCAGAATCCAGGGATGATGACGAGCATGATTCAAAAAGTCAACCCATTCAGATCTTTTCAGCCAAAGGTACTTTTTTGAGTAGTTAGGTAATCTTTGCTTATGTTTTGTTTCCTTTTCTCTGACTCCCATCTCCTCTCCAGGACCCTCCATCTTTAAACAGTGACCTGTCGTCCAGCAGTGGAAGCCTGACGGACAACAATAATGTTCCAGAGAAGCAGGTTTGTCTAAAGAACCAAGAATTATTATTTTTTAAATATTTTTTTCTGATCTGGGATCTAGGAAAATATGTTACTTTGGTAAATATACTTCTTAGAAAAATAACAGTCCAACCCTCTATCTAAATAGGCAACAGTCTAAACAGGTTCATGTTTGAAACACAAAATATGTTACACAAAAACATAAATATTCAAATTTCCCAACACAAAGCAAAATGGCTTATCTAGGTACTTGCACCACATTTTTAGCTGGCTCTCATCAGCATCATCTCCCAGATGAATTACATGAGAGAGAACTACAGCTGCTCGGCTTAGTCAGTGTAATATTTTTTAGTACCATAAGATGGCGTTATAGCATCTTAATTCAATCTTTCTTAACCTCTTTGAAAAGGGATGTAAATGAATGTATCTAGAGTTGCAAATTAATAAAATATTCTATGTCTATATTTAATGTTACAAATTTCTAATTCATATTTGGCTTTAAATTACCATGTGATTATGTATTTATTATTTGCAAATTATTGTTCATGAAAGAGCTAAAATTCAGTTTGTTGCATTATAAAATTTTTGCAGAAGACTGTTAAAAAAAGAGATGACCTTTTTTGGCCAGCAATTAGTTTGACCCACAAAAGGTATTAATTCTAGAAGCCGGTTGTTCAGAGTCTTATCTGGAGTATATTAATGCATAGTGGAGCATAAGGAAAAGGTGTAATGTAAGCACAAACCGTGATATCTGCAGCCATGGCAGTAATGTGAATCGGAGTCCACTCAAGAGTTGTTTGGTAAAGTTGTGTCATCTGTACTGACAGCAGCCAGAACAGATGTATCCAAAATATACAACCTCTTCCCTTGAACTAGGGAAGAGGTCAGAAGGCTCTCTGCTGGACCAAATTTGAAAAAAAGAATTAAGCTTTTCTCCAAGAGTTGGATGCACTTTTCTAATGGAAGTAAATATTGTATTTTTTGGGCAAGAAATGTATCAAGACACCGGAGGGGTAGAGTTTAGGCATAGGCTGGTAAAGTTTTACTGTAATAAATCTCATAGGATTATGATTACAGCTCTATTTCTAAAATGTCTGAATTAAAAAGGGAAAGAGAGGGAAATAAATTAAATGATTAATGTTGTTGGGCACCAGCCAGAACTGCTCCTAACCTTTAAATCCTCCTGGAATTGTTAAATGTTTTATTTTTAGTTCCAGTGCCCAGTCCATCAAATGGACATGTCAGAATCCACAGGAGTGTGTGTGCAACATCCATTTATGCAGAAGCTTTCAAAAACGTGACTTAAGAGTTTATGAAAGAAATGACCAGCCGCCATCCTTACAACACTAATCCCTGGGGAAATGTGTCCCTCTGTATTCATAGCACAACTGGGAAAATGGATCCCTTTCTTTCCTACGCATTCTAGATAGAATGAAGTACACAAATCTCGACCAGCCAAAGTTTTTATTTTAAGCATAACTTCATGCACTATTTTATGTGGGATCTCTTTCATGTCATGAAATTAAATGACTGAGGATGACATCTGATTGTTCCTCTGTCCAACAAAGTAAATCCTCACTGCTGAGGATATAGATCATGTAGGGATACCTTCCTGCTGCTCTGTTTCCTTCCCGCCAGCTCTGAGTCGGTTAAATAAAATGATAAAATTGTTTTATACAGCATAAGTACCTGAAGCATCAGGAACTGGATATGTTTAAATCTGTTTAGAGGATTCTAAATCGAGAGGAACCAGAATTCTTTGAATTCCATCGATGCCCAACCCTTATTGTGGAACTATGGCATGATCTTAGAACTACTTGATCCCTGTAACTCTAGACTATTTCAGTAGGGCTGAAACAATTGTTCGGTTTAATCATGATTAATCGATTATTGAAATAACTGTCAACATATATTAATCGAGACTCCAAAACATGCCTTAAGATGACAGAGCAACCCGCTTAGTGCAGTAATTATATAAAAATCGTAAAGAAATATATAAAAATTTTGCATTTAAGATAATAAATTAGTTTTGTCTGTCAATATGCTTCTTTAAGGAACCTTTGGCTATCCAATTATTAATAAAAAAGAAAAAATGGATAGATTAATTGATTTGTGAAACAATCATTAGTTGCAGCCAGGCTCGGACTGGTAATCTGTGATACCGCGCATGTGCCCGGTGGGTCGGCGTGCGAGGGCGGGCCCTCCTTGATTCATACCCGCCCCAAAACACTTACTATCCAGTCGAAGCATCTACCTGTGATAGTAAATAACTTAAGGAGCTCAAGAAGTATTACAATGTGAACTACCAAAGCGATGCATGCAGTATATATAGCCCTTCCTTGTCATGCACATCCTTGGGACAGTTGGCATACTGTATGGTGTAATTATCTATTTCTTCAAACTTTAGACTCCTATTTTTTCAAACTGTAAAACAAACAAAATTATAATAAAACTAAAATGCTTTCTTTAAACCAAACTACAATGTTCGTCTTATATTTGGCAGAATGTGTATGACGTCATCTGCACGCAGCAGCTACCATTCCTTCATTCTGTCCGCTGAACTGCTGCTAGTTTTACTTACATGCCTGGAAGATGTCTAGTGCTTCTACCACAGATGATCTCGCTCTTGAAACGCAATTGAACGATTCAGATTAGCTAGCGGTATGAATAGAAGGGGTAGAGCGTAGCCCCCTGTGACCCGGGCTGCCTGTCACAACTGCAGTCCGGCACACGGATGACGTCATACACGCACCACTTTGTTTTTAAAAGATATAAATGTAAAATATATAACCACGGATGTCTGGGGGCCACTGATTCGCCTTTATGTTATGAATGCTGGCGTACCATAAAGAATAAATTATGAACAGTTTAGTTTGTGCCTTCAACTCGTTGCCCATAGGAAGACGTTACTTGGATATAACCTAACGGAATATCTTCAGAACGGCTCCAAATGACACAAAACTAATATGGATGAGTAGAACATGATGTAATAACGTAAAGTTAAGGGACCAATGTAAAAAAAAAAACAGTGTTCCCTTTAACTGTGCTCCTATATTTATGTTTTAGGCACCTAAATAAATTTTTACAGGCACAAAGAAGCAAACGAAATTACAAGTTTATATGACAATGATTGTGCAGAATGTGTGGCTACAGCTACAAAAGGGTTTGATCCTTTGACCTTTTACTGTAAACTGATGAAATGCAAAGTGAAGTGGATAAGTTCGAAGAGCACAATCAATAAGATGCCTACCTCAATGATACAGTATTTGCTTCACTAATGCTAAAGTTAGCTACTGTCTTAAAGAAAATAATTGATCTTCCTCCATTTTTATTATTGTTTTACTTTATCTCTACATATAAATATCAGCTCAGTCTGTCACAGAGCTGCAAGGTTAAACAGTGTTGTTGGAGTGGGATGTTTAGGAAAGGAGCTACACTCCTTTAGCCTCAATGATTTTTCAACATCTTTCTGTTTGCTCAGACTGTCTTCAACTTTTTTGATTAGACCTTCAGAGTTCTTTGCTTTTCTAGGTCAGAACAGTACTGAATGTTTGAGCTGTGAGCACTGTTCTGGTTGTTTTTACAAATTGCCGGCTGAATGATTACCCCCAAACTATTATTGATCTTAAGTTAAATAGTTGAATGACTTTATTTGTTTTTCCTGTAACACAAATTCAGCAATATAGCAGCCTTTGCGTCTCATGGGGCAGCCGATGCAGTGAACACATATTATCACCCCCTCTGAAAGGGCTAAAGACAGTGGAAAAGTGTGGGATGCTGTCTTCCTCTTTCTTTATACAACCTGAACCTATAGAGCGAGCACCTATAGGGGAAGATTTTTTCTTTTTAAACATATACCGAACTGCATGACCTAAAAGTTCTGCAGTTTCCAAACGATATAGGCACATACCTTAAAACTGGTAATATTGGCACATACCTTAAAACTGGTAACGTAGTAGAGGAACACAGAAACCAAGGTTTTTGAGGTCAAAAGTCAAGATTCCACAGTTTGAGATGGTTTACACAGCCATGCCCCCTGCTACGTTTCAGTTGTGTTTTTAATCAAGTCAGAAATCATGGCATCTGTACAAGGAAATTTTAGAGCATTTCATGCTTCTTTCTCTTGATATGCTTTTATGGAGATGCCGATTTTATCTCTCATCAGGACTGGCACCTTTCTACAGTGCCAAAAAAAATGCCGTATTGTCACTGTGCTTGACTGGCCAGAAGAACGTGTCTAACCAAAGCCCCGTAGATAATCTATGAAAGATTTTAACAAGCTGCTTTAGAAAAATAAAATCTAGCAATGCAGGTGAGTTGCTTAAAGCAAGCGGGTTCTCTGAACAGAAACGCTGACTCATTTAGGGATGAAACAATTAGTCGGATTAATCGTGATTAATCGATAACTGAAATAATTGTCAACTAATTTAGTAATCGATTGATCTTTAACTGGAGTATAGATACTCTTAAACATGCCTTTAGCTGAAATACTTAAAGCAGTAACTAAACCAAGATTGTAACCAAAGTCTATAAACATTTTGCAACTAAAATGAATGAATTAAAAAATGAATGAAAAATGCACGCCCTGAAGAAGGAGGGCGTCACTCCAGTGGCAGGAAGTTGGAGGGGATTCTGCTGGGAGTCACAGGGAAGTGGGCTGCCTGGGGACCTACATGCAAACCAGAAGCAATGCCACAAAATACGTAGAGGGAAATTGCATTGTTTTTTTTTGTTTTTTACCCATTGTGTATAACATTAGGTCATCATAAGAATAACATCTTTTATATTTGTTCTGCATAACAAAGCATAACAGAGCCTAATGGAAGTGTGTGAGTTGTGGGAGGATTGGGCTTGTTGTCTGTCAGTGCCATGTCAGACATTTTATTGACCACTTGTAGAGTATGAAGGGTTAAAAGAGAGAACAGAGAGTTCATCAGGGTCCAGAATGGAGGAAGAGTCCAGACTTAAGGTAGGATCAGCATTAGTCTGACTCGCTGAAAAATTCTGGCTAGCTCTTTCATGAACTTGTTAGAGAGATTTCACACCAAACTAGTAATATAGAGGCTGGGATTTCTCAGCCAACATCTGGTAAACAAATAGCAACAAATAGGTTGAGAAGTCCTTTCTCAACCTATGTGCAAAAAGATTGACCTTAGATTTCAATCAATCCAGGAAGTTATTCTTCTTTGTGTAAAGCAGCCTATATGAGTCTCTGTAGAATTCGCGAAATCTCCCCAAGTTTGATTAGTCTACTTTGTGGTTCGGACATATTTCTCACCATTTATTCAAGCACTCTGAAATAAATAAATGGCATTTATGTATATTCGACAAATTTTAATTTAGAAATGGCATCAAAATATTTAATATCATTTAAAAGTGAGGATAATTTAATGAAATATTTAACTGTACTTTTTCTTTAATAGTGCATTTAAATGGTACATTTATTTATTTAAAGGCACATTTACTTGGCCGCTGTTGGTCTTGGAATGTATTTAATTCATGATTTATCAATGTATTTACTTTTGTTCCCTTTAAGCCCACATATTAAAGATGCTTTTTTGTTTGCTCGTCCTTAAAGTTGAAAAGCAAAACTTGCAAATAGGTTATTGATAAGGGAAAAGGCATTTCAGTGACCTGTCAAGTTCAGTTTTCATTCCTTTGAGTTTTTTCATTCAGCAGTATCGGCCGATACCGATACCATAATAATGTAAAATAATTGCCATCATGGCTTTGTCAACCTGCTGCCTACCTTTGTGAAGCAGGAAAAAATCTAAAACAAAGTGAATCAAGTAGAACTTTTCATTGCCTACCAGGAGTGGGTGACAATAGTTGAATAAACTTATGGCTCTCAAAATGGTATCGGTGCCCTATTTGTTGGTACTCGCCGATACCGATACCACCATTTTAGGGCAGTATCGGGGGCCCCGTCCGATACTGGTATCGGTATCGGTGCAACACTAATTATAAGTGATTATGATAGAAGACAAACAGGCTCTAACCAGAGTAGAAAAAGAAGTGGGAGGCCGCGTTGCACAACTGAGCAAGAAGATAAGTACATTAGAGTCTTTAGTTTGAGAAACAGATGCCTCACAGCTCCCCAACTGGCATCTTCATTAAATAGTACCCACAGTAGCTTGTTTGTGCTGTCCTCTGAAGGGAGTAGTACACACCGTTGTAGGAAATCTTCAATTTCTTAGCAATTTCTCACATGGAATAGCCTTCATTTCTAAGAACAACAATAGACTGTTGAGTTTCAGATGAAAGTTCTCTTTTTCTGGCCATTTTAGCGTTTAATTGACCCCACAAATGTGATGCTCTAGAAACTCAATCTGCTCAAAGGAAGGTCAGTTATGTAGCTTCTGTAACAAGCTAAACTGTCTTCAGATGTGTGAACATGATTGCAAAAGGGTTTTCAAATTATCAATTAGCCTTCTGAGCCAATTAGCAAACACATTGTACCATTAGAACACTGGAGTGATAGTTGCTGGAAATGGGCCTCTATACACCTATGTAGATATTGCACCAAAAACCAGACATTTGCAGCTAGAATAGTTATTTACCACATTAGCAATGTATAGAGTGTATTTCTTTAAAGTTAAGACTAGTTTAAAGTTATCTTCATTGAAAAGCACAGTGCTTTTCCTTCAAAAATTAGGACATTTCAATGTGACCCCAAACTTGTGAACTGTGGTTTATATCATTGTTTTTTTTATTTTTTCTGCCTTTCTCTCTGCATTGGTTGAGAACCCTGGGTGGTGGTAACAGTAGGTTGGCATTCTGAAGACGAAAAGAATACATACTGTTGATATAGTGTTCTGAGACTGTATTTGGAGTTTGCTTTAGCTTTAAGCCATAATCCAAATACAAGCAAGCAAACGAACTATAATAAACACACTTGAAATAAAATAACCTGTCAATGTGTGTAATGGATCAATACAAGTTGAATTTATTTGATTTCAGCAATATATCTGTGAAGATTGTCAGTCATTCATGCCATGGTCAAGCTTAAAAAGTTTAGTTTAAGTAACTGAACAAGAAGGTTTCTAGGTTTGCTTCTCATCAAAGAGGCTGTAGGTGAATGTTTAGGTGCATGAGCCTCCTTTAGCCCTAAGGTGTAGTTTAAAAGCCGAGTCATGTCCTGAGGAATTAACCCTCCTAAGGACTGAACCCCCGTTTAGGTGTCTTAGCCGTTCACCTGCACCTGAAGGCTATAGTACACTCATTTGAGGACAGCAGTGTCAATATTCTGCCCAATAAAGACAGATGGTTTAGGATAGGGGCCATCTTTGTTAACCTTTAAAAACATCTCTGAACAGAGGGGGGGATATTAGACATAACCTGTCACTTTTAAAGGACTTTTAGCCACAATACCCAGAAGATTCACTTCTCACTTGCCCTCACCTGACTTGCACTGCAAAGAGGAATGTCACAGAAATCCACTCTGATGGAGTTAATGACCCAACAGAACCCCCACCCCCTCAATGACCGTTAACATCCCTCAGGTGACTCCCGTCGCCAATCAAGTAGGAGGTATCAGAGCCACCCTTTTAACCCCCATAATTCTTTTTACACTTAGGGTATATAAATCCCAGTGCTCCCCACCACTAGTTAGAACTGAAGCAGCTTCTTGGATGACAGGCGAAACGTCTTCTAGAAAACTTTACTTACAGTTGCCTAAACTGCCTCAACTAAACTTTTCTAGCTTGCTTTCAGTGATATTTTACATTTTTATTTTAATACAATGGTAATTTGCAACCCCGGTGGCTAATAACGAAGCTTTATTGGGGACATTTTTATAAAAAGTTTTGCTCCAGTTTTAACAAGTGTGACGTTGTTCTTAACATAACCACTAGGTGGTGCCAAACTCAGATTTTTAAAGGTGAACCATTCACCTTGTCTTCTTCCTTTTTTGTTTAAACAAAACCAATATTAAACCTTTTATTTCCCCCAACATCTTTTTGTTTTTTTCTAGAACCCTGGCATGTTTAAAGGGATGATGCAAAAGGTCAACCCCTTCAAGTCACACACGCAGGTATGATATGGAGAACGTTAGATTCCAAGTGCCTGTTCTCTTAAGCTGTAAGGGGCAGATATTTTGACCTTCTATTTTTCAACAAATCATTGTTGATACAGGTGACCGATGACGCTTGTGAGACTGACTCATCTGCTCCTTCTAACATGACTGAGGTAAATATAGCCATGAATGACCTCAGAGGCCTTTTGTTTACACATCATGTAGACATCTCTAAAGTTTTTATGCCATTTTTTAAGTTATTCTGTCTCCATCTGTAGGTAAACATAAAATTTAGAAGATGGTGAAAATTTTCATTTTTGGTCACTCATTTCAGGAAATGAAACATGCTTTTGTTCTATTTTTTTTGTACCTAGGTAAAAAAAACTAATTGAGATTAGAATTTCTTTCAAGAGTGAACTGGCCAAAAGGGCAGCAAGAAAAAAAGTAACAACAGTAAAGACAGAATCATACAACAATACACAACAATACAAACTTGAAAATAAATAAATAAATAAATAAAGATTTGCAAATATTAGAAGCGGTCACATGAATCACTGACCATATGCTGTATGGTTTCATTGGAAATAAACCACAAAAAATATTTCAAGCTTTATTTCTGGGAATTTTGATTATAGAAACTAAATTATCCCTGTCTCTTTGAACTCAGTAGCCGGTGATCAACCTGTTTTACTGCTTAGTTGTAAAGAAGTCCAGGGCGATTTCAGTGCAGCCTCCGGCGCATCTGCATTGTTGGCTCAAGTGTCTCTAATCTTCCTCTTGACAATAGTATTTAGATTCTCTATGGAGAAGCCGATTTGATTTACCAGCAGGACTTGGCACCTGTCCACACCGTATTAGACTGGCCAGGAAACTGCCCTGAAAACCATAAGGCTTTTGTTAACAGAAGGAAGCAAGGACTCCTCAAAAATTTTCCTGGCAGATGACAGCATTCATTCTGAACTTCCAAAATCAACATGGGCCATCACCACCAGATAAAATCTTGCTCTAATTGTGGGAACTTGACACTGGACTCGAAGCAACAGGGAACTCTGGAAACTCTATTTCCAAATAAAAATTTAGATTTTAATTTAACTCAAAAGGATGACTTTGATCCACTTGGTAACAATCCTTGGACAAGATCAGAAGCTTATAGCCTATGTGTAGGATTCCTACATATAAAAAGGAATCCTACCAAAAGGCACGGACTGCAGCCTCAGTACCTTGCTACTCTAATTTATTTTACGTAACTCATCACAAGGCCGCAACATTTTCTCCTTTAATTCCCCTTTCTATGATTATTCTTGTAAATGGCACTATGTGAAAAAGAGCTTCTATAGCAATGCCTCTTCCTCTTTGAGGTTATGTACATCTATAGGGTCGTGATGTAATTAAGGTATTAAAACAGTTTTCGTAAAAAAAAAAATATACATTTTCATTTTTTTTGAATGACTGAACTTCTTTTTTTTATTGTCTCTAAGTCGAAACCTTCAAAACGACAATTAATGGCTCAAAAAATTCCCTCTGATAATGTTTCCTTTTCGGAAATGATTGGAAAAAATATTGAACATCCTCACAGTGCTTAACTTTATCTACAAGCAGAAAGCAGTACCCGTGTCTTGAGTCGGAATGTGTGTACAGATATTAACTAACATTCTGTTTGTTTCTACTTCCTACCCCATGGAGCTGATGTTTACTTGCTATTTATTCTCACTCATCAGGTTGAGCGAGCTATACACAGTGAGAACTCCAGCAGCTCTGACAGTTTGGACGACAGTGCTATAGAGAGACATGTAAGACATCGGGGGGGGGCTACTACTCAGGAAGAATCGTAGATGAAGATTAGATAAACCCTCGGATGTAAAAATAGTCTGATGAATCACATCAGCAATGCTAAGCATGTGATCCGGTGATCCTGTAACCTGATGATGTTACTTGAAGCAATAGTATGTTCCATGATGTTAGTGGGTTTTTGGTCTGTGTGTATTTTGAAGATCAGTGCTTTCCATGAGGTTAAAGATAATGTCAGTTTTTAGGGGATTTTATTTATTTATTTATTTTTTTGCATGATTCAAATGTGAGTAGGTAATTGTGGTGATTAATTAATAAAGCTTAGTGAAAATTCAGAATATATTTTCAATACTTTGCAAATGATTTAGATTTATTTTCTCACCCTCACACAATATTGTTTTCAGACCATTTGGTATGCAGATGCCGAGGCAATAAATGAGGGGGTTAATCAGCCAACAGAAGTTGCAAGAAAAACGAATAAGGTTGGTCACCATAAAAATTATCTACTCAGGTCCATTTTTGTCTTTTATATTTTGTCTTTAAAAAATCTTGAAACAATTTATAGGACTCTTTCTACATTGTCTAAAGTAAACGTATTTCGTCAGGTTGAATCTTCATTGCCAATAGCAAACACCCCGAATGTACGACAGTATTGCACAACATCCATGTAGTAAAAGCAACATTTGAACTCATCTTTCCCTTTCAGACTTTCATTATAAAGAGGATACTTCCCAAGTCTTTTTTTGCGTCTGGATCCAAGGTAAAGTTAAGCTGCATTAGTTTTTGGTATTTTGCCTTGCAAGCAGAGTTGGTGTTTTCTCCCACATTAAAACCTTAAGATGAGCATCAGAATGCTGCTAACTGATGGAACACATCAAACCATTTTGATATTGTTCCATTTTCAAGCCCAATTCTGCTGAAGAAACACAATTGAAGTTAGCCTTTTTTCTATTTCTTTTAGTTTGATGTTTTATCTTTTTTAACGAATCACTTCTTTATCCTGCATTGTATCAATCATGTTGTTCTCTACAGGAATCTGAAAATCAATCATCTGACACTCAGCCCCAGCCTCAGGTTTGTAGTCCAGACAGTGGAAGTTTTAAAGCAGCTGTTAACCAGGATGATGGTTTCTACATTTGCTTTGAAAACTTATTTAAGTTTTAAGGGATTTCATCTTATAGAATGGAATCAAATGCGGTGGAAAAAATATAAATAAAGCAGCAGATACAAATGAGATTCTAAACTCTCACTGCAAATTGACATGGACATGAAATAATTTCTGCCTCAGCTCACACCCAACTCTCAAGTTTCCTGCAAGCTGAAATGTACTTTCCTGGCAGTTGACTGTAATTATATAACCTGCCCTGCTCTAAGAAAAAAACTCAAAACAAAAAAAATGCTTTTGTCATAAAGTGGACATACTCTAGCACTTAGTTTATATAAACTGTGCTTTGAATGGCCACTGTAGCACATTACTAAAACATTATAAATTAAAGAATTATATTCTACCATTTTGCTTGCACAATCATCGTGTCCTACCTTAACCCCATTCTGATGATGTCAATACAAGTTGTTCCTGTAATGTTCCAGCTATTTCCTGTTGGCAAGTTTTTTCTCCTTTGCATGCCTTGAAGACTGATGTCCCATTCTATCTCATTTAAAGCTATAATTATGTTTGACACTATAGCAGGAAAAACTAGACTGTCAGTTGAGATTTTTTGAGTTTTTCCTCCTCCAAATTTTAAAAGCATAAAAGTAATGTTCTGTATTAAGGTTGCATAAAGACAGGGTTGAGCCAAATTATATAAATATCTACATCTGGGGGGGAGGGGGTGTAGTTAGTTACCTTCTATAAAAAAGAAAAAAAAACATCAGCCACTGTACTGAGATTTTGAACTTGTTAAACTGGGAATGTATGATCTCTGAAGTGGCCTTTTTGGCACAAAATCCTAAAACTATTGCCTAAAGCCACCATGAGTTCAACGCTGTGGTTAAAGGCCTTTAAACTTTTACTCAACCCGAAACGACAGGATTGTGAGACCCCTTATTTAAAAAAACACTTCAGCAACGGAACTGCCTGGCATTTGGTGACATTTTTATTTTCTTAGCAGTGGGACTTAAAAATGTTAATAGCCAATCTCAAGGTCTGTAATTAATCACATTGTCATTGAAAAATTGATCCACAAAACAACCTTTTACTTCAGAAGTTGAATTGAATGACATGAGCACACCACACAATATCTGTTTTTGATACTTTATTTAGGTTATTCCAACATGAGATTAGCTGGAAGACGTATTAATTAATGCTTGTGGGAATGCTTGTCAGATTTATGCAAGAGATTGATGCATAATGCCAACCAGGAAGCAGAGTCGTAATTTAACACAGCCCTCTGTGTTGGGCACGTTACTTTGAAAAAGTCATTAGTAATAGTTACTAGTTACTTCTCCCAAAAAGTAACTGAGTTACTAACTGAGTTACTCCACAATAAAAGTAACTAGTTACTAGAAAAAGTAACTGCGTTACTTTTGCGTTTCCTGCCCCCGTAACCCTCACCAACCGGCCCCCACCTTCTTGCCGTGTGTTTCAAAAGCCAGCTGAATAGAGCGGATGACAAAGACAAGAACCTGCAGAGAGTTTTGCATTTATTGCAACTAAATGTAAATGACATCAGGGGGGAACGCGATGTGAAGTTTTTTAACAGGGCATTCAGATCTGGTGAGTATATGAAATTAATAACTGGGGATGTCTAATTCTGAAATCCTGTGTGTTTGGGTTGTTATAGATACTACAACATCTATCTATCTAGATGTATACTCTGTGTGTGACATAAAATATGGATCTCCATCCCTGCCACAAAGGCCATCAAATAATGTAAGGTTGAAAAGGCAGAGTATCCATGCATCCATCCATCCAGATTTCTCCCTTTCTCCATATAGGCTATCATTTGATCGTTCATGTTCTCCATAGTTCCCCTGTGGCGCGAGCACAGGGCGACTTGCGCGCCTTTAGCGAGCATGCGCGTTTCCTGTCGCTTGCGCGGTGAATTGTGCCGCCTGCACTGTGCGGAGATGCAGGGGAAACTGTATGTGACGGGGAAACGCAGCTCGACGTAACACCGGTATTTCCATCTGGAAAACGCTGTTTTGCTGCTGGATTCCTCCTCACTCTCCATCTCTCTGTGTGTGCTGTACGTTAACACCCGCCAGCAGAAACACCCACCTACCCAACTGACAGACGGAATCTCACTATACATCAGCCAATCTCATCCTCCCCTCTGTCATGACAAGGCACGCACGAGTCCTATCATGAAAAAAGGTTCATTGTGTGACCCGAGTAACACGCGGTAACGTGGTGTCTGCAATGATAACTGCGTTATAGTTACAGTCAAAGTAATTAGTTAGATTACTCGTTACTAAAACAAGGTAACGGCGTTAGTAACGCTTTCAACGCTGTTACTCCCATCACTGCTCATTACTCCATGCAGACAGTGTCTTGCCCATGATGACAATCAAATAGATTAGAAAAAGAATCCTAAAGGAATGAATCACAATAATCTAAAATTAAAATAACTCCAATTGAGGAAAAAGTTTAAACTATTAGGTGGGGTAATAAGTGGTTTATTCAAAAAGTCTGTTAATGACTGGTGATAATCGCATTGATTTGTTTCCTTACAGAAACTTGGCTGCATCAAGAGGATTATGTGAGCATAAAGGAGGAAACTCCCTTTAGTTATTTTAATTCTCACATACCCAGAAATTCTTTGCGAGGACGACGAGTATTAGTTATTATTATTATTATTATTAATGTGACTGCACTGCTCGGGCGGCTAATGTTTCGCCTCTAATACGGGAGATCCGGAGCTGGCAACTCTTTTAAGGGAAGGGGGCCTAGTGGTTAGGGCGTAGAGCTAGGAATCCAGAGGTCCTGAGTTTGATTCCCACTCCCACAGACTGTCACTCTGGGTCCCTGAGCAAGACCCTTAACCCCACACTCCTCCCTGGGCGCCGCACAATGGCAGCCCACTGCTCCCCAAAGGGATGGGTTAAATGCAGAGAGTGAATTTCTCCAATGTGAGATCAATAAAGTTCAATGAATGATTATGATTGACTAGCAACAATCTTTTAGTCTAGCTTACGGATAACTCCAAAGGCAGTTAATTGTTACAACTCTTTTGAACGTTTAACCCTTAGTTTCCCTTATGCAAAGTGCGAAGCCAGAAAACCTCGTCTTTTTGTAACTTTGTATCGTCAACAAGGTCCTTACTCTGAATTTTTAAATGTGTTTTCAGAGTTCCTGTCTGATTTGGTGTGGAATACAGACAGGGTCACCATAGTTGGGGATTTTAACATAAATGCTGACATTGAAGGTGATGGCTCGAGTACAGCTTTCAATGCTATCTTATATGCTATTGGCTTTGTTTGAAATGTGGATAGTCCCACACATTCTCATCTTCATACTCAGTAGCTTATGCTGACATATGGCCTTGAATGTGGAGAACTAACAGTATTTCCTCAAAACCCTGTCCTCTCTGACCACTTTTTAAAAACCTTCAAACTTACTTTAACTAAGTTCTCCTTGCCCAAAAGAAGGTTTCACTTTAGCAGATCATAATTATATATTATTAGATAATGCATTTATACATTTTAAAGAATCTGTTCAGGTTTTCTCTGTCGTGTAGCATTGCTGCAAGTGCAAAAAACTGATCCAAAATACTGCAGCCAGAGTTCTTACAAAAGTTAAAAAGAGAGTTCATATCTCTCCTATGCTAGCTTCTCTTCTCTTCATTCCTGTTAAATCCATAATAGAATTAAATTAAAGTCCCTCTCACATGGGACCAAGCTCCATCTTATATCAGGGATCTGATCATTCCTTATGTCCCTAAAAGAGCACTTCACTCTCAATCTGCAGTTTTACTAGTGATTTCTAGAATTTCTAAAAGTAGAAAGGGAGGCAGCTCTTTTAGTTATCAGGCTCATCTCTTGTGGAACAGGGTGTCTATGAGGCAGACACCCTGTCTACTTTTTTTTTTTACTTTATTGAAGATCGATTTAATACCAAATTTCTAAAAAGAATTCTTAAAGTCCTAATCCTATTTTCTTTTTTTCATTAATCTGACAAGGATGCAGTTGAAGTTGAAACACTGCAGCTGGCTGATATACCAATACCTGGTGAAGGAATCCAAGTGGACCCTCAGGATGTATGGCTCTTTCTCTTGCTCTACATGTCACAATTTTTATTTTGGTAGATGAGCACATCCTTAATGAGAACTCTGAATATATATTCATGCAGGATGAAGATGGCCTTCTCTCTTGGTGGAAAACAGTTGAAGGTCTAGCTTTGATTTTTCAGTAGGCTGTCCATTGCTGCTAAAATGTAACATGGGGAAAACTGTTGTTTATTATTTTTTTCTCTTTTCAAGGATGGGACGAGTGGAGTGAGGGAAACCAGAACGATGATGCGGAAGAGTACGTAAAATCAAATGAGGATGTTAAACTTCAAACTCACCTGGAAAAAACTTGACACTTCACCATGAACCGTTACTTTAAATCTACATGTAATTTTCAGTGATGTCTAATGGTCAGATTGCAGACTGCAAAATGCACTCAAAATAACTTTGTGGGCGTCGCTTTACCTACATTAGATTGCAGCATCTATCTTTTAAGAAAGCTGTTTAATTTAGCCCTAGAAAGACCATTCGGTATCTGTTCTTCAGCACAGATATGGACCTGCTTCTCTCATCCCGCTCGACCGCTTACTCCCGCCGCAGACTCCTCTGATCCTCATTCTCAGTGACCGTCTATCCATGTCCAGCTGTTGCCTCTATGTACAGGTGCTGGTCATAAAATTAGAATATCATGAAAAAGTAGATTGATTTCAGTAATTCCATTTAAAAAGTGAAACTTGTATATTATATTCATATATTACATACAAACTCATATATTTCAGATGTTTATTTTGTTTAATTTTGATGATTACAAACGACAACAAATGAAAATCTCAAATTCATCATATCAGAAAATTAGAATATTGTGAAAAGGTTCAAAATTGATGGCCCCTGGTGCCACACTCTAATCAGCTAATTAACTCAAACCACCTGCAAAAGCCTTTAAATGGTCTTTCAGTCTAGTTCTATAGGCTACACAATCATGGGGAAGACTGCTGACTTGACAGTTGTCCAAAAGACGACCATCGACACCTTGCACAAGGAGGGCAAGACACAAAAGGTCATCGCTAAAGAGGCTGGCTGTTCACAGAGCTCAGTGTCCAAGCACATTAATAGAGAGGCGAAGGGAAGGAAAAGATGTGGTCGAAAAAAGTGTACAAGCAAGAGAGATAACCGCACCCTGGAGAGGATTGTGAAACAAAACCCATTCAAAAATGTGGGGGAGATTCACAAAGAGTGGACTGCAGCTGGAGTGAGTGCTTCAAGAACCACCACACACAGACGTATGAAAGACATGGGTTTCTGCTGTCGCATTCCTTGTGTCAAGCCACTCTTGAACCACAGACAGCGTCAGAAGCGTCTTGCCTGGGCTAAAGAGAAACAGGACTGGACTGCTGGTGAGTGGTCCAAAGTCATGTTCTCTGATGAAAGTAAATTTTGCATTTCCTCTGGAAATCAAGGTCCCAGAGTCTGGAGGAAAAGAAGAGAGGCACTTCATCCACGTTGCTTGAAGTCCAGTGTAAAGTTTCCACAGTCAGTGATGGTTTGGGGTGCCATGTCATCTGCTGGTGTTGGTCCATTGTGTTTTCTGAGGTCCAGGGTCAACGCAGCCACATACCAGGAAGTTTTAGAGCACTTCATGCTTCCTGCAGCTGACCAACTTTTTGGAGATGCAGATTTCATTTTCCAACAGGACTTGGCACCTGCACACAGTGCCAAAGCTACCAGTACCTGGTTGAAGGACCATGGTATCCCTGTTCTTAATTGGCCAGCAAACTCTCCTGACCTTAACCCCATAGAAAATCTATGGGGTATTGTGAAGAAGAAGATGCAATACACCAGACCCAACAATTCAGAAGAGCTAAAAGCCACTATTAGAGCAACCTGGGCTATCATAACACCTGAGCAGTGCCACAGACTGATCGACTCCATGCCACGCCGCATTGCTGCAGTAATACAGGCCAAAGGAGGCCCAACTAAATACTGAGTGCTGTACATGCTCATACTTTTCATGTTCATACTTTTCAGTTGGCCAACATTTCTATAAATCCTTTGTTTTTATTGGTCTTCAGTAATATTCTAATTTTCTGATATGATGAATTTGAGATTTTCATTTGTTGTCATTTGTAATCATCAAAATTAAACAAAATAAACATCTGAAATATATGAGTTTGTATGTAATGTATGAATATAATATACAAGTTTCACTTTTTAAATGGAATTACTGAAATCAATCTACTTTTTCATGATATTCTAATTTTATGACCAGCACCTGTACTAGCTTTGGCCTGCCGTCTCTTCCTGCTCTGTCCGATCTTCAGCCGTTCTTCTTGTATATTGGTCTATGTATAACTTGCCGCAGTCTCATCCAAGCATAATGGTGATCTCAATCCAAACAAATTTTATATAGAATCTATATATATGTTATTTATTACCAACTATGAAATAATAGTGTCAATTTTGATGTCAGTAAATTCCTGTAATTATTACCTACTTTATCTTTAAAAGTACCCACTGCATTTTTTTTCTAGTATTTTATTTGCTTTCTTTTTTATCCAAGCTCTTGCAGATCAAAGTCATTCAAAATGCAGTGTCCCTATCAGCGTGTCATAAAGTTGAGACCAATATCCAGAATAAACCCAGTAGCTTTAATTTGTGTTAGAGCAATGCTCTACTCCTCACCATTAACGGATGTTGCATTCTCTTGTCGTCTTAACTGGAACAAATTTTTGTCACCGCTGGAGTTTCTGTAGGACTATTTCCATATACTCCTGTAACAGTGAGCTATGACATGCCCAAGAAATCTTGCTGTGTAAAATGCATCTAATGAAACTAAATATGTTATGTCAATCATTTCTAAGGGTATTTGGCTTTACACATAAATCTCTGTATTGCTCATTCTGCTGTTTTTCTGCATCTCACTCCCATTATTGCTAAGCCCAGGTGTTGACGTTGCCACCCATTGGTCTGTTGGGGGGATAGTGTGGAGTGGCGGCCTAGTGGTTAGGGCATTGCGTTTGGAATCCAGAGGTTCTGAGTTCATGCCCCACTCCCTCAGACTGCCACTCTGTCTGTGAGCAAATATCCTTAACTACACATTGCTACCCGGGCACCGCACAATGGCAGCCTACTGCTCCCCCAGGGGATGGGTTAAATGCAAAGAGTTAATTTCGTTGCTCTGTACTTGTGACAGTGTAATGACAATAAAAAAACTGGAAAAATAAAAATGTTTATTTGCAGCTCCAGGCAGTAATTCCAGATCAGTACAAATCCTGACCTTTTGCACAGACCATTTATGCAGAAAGGGACTTTTAAATTTCTGTTAGGTCCTCACTGATTCATATCTTGACATCTTAGGTGTTGTGCAAAAAGTCTTCAATTAAGAAAACTTTTCATTTTCATTTCAATTCCTTAGTAATTAAGACTTAATGATTTCAACGGACTTTTAGATTATTTAATTGTTTCACTTCGAGAACAAGTTGATCTGCTGGTATGCATTTAACACCTGGCTTCGAACGTCATCAAACTTTTTAGTGTTTATTGACAATTAAATGAAGAATGCAGCACAAGCCACATTGTTCAGATGGGAAGCATCAGCAGCCAACAGTCTTCTTGTTACTGTAAAAGACATTTGAAAACTGAAAAGAAAGCTTTTTGTTATTGAAAGATGTTGACATCATTTCATGCTTAATTGCATACTTTGTCCATGTAAATGTGCAGACTTTTGTGGTTTTGTAAAAACCCTGTCACATAACATGCAGGCTCACTGCTTCCTGGTTGTAGGATAATGTTGAGGAGTTGAGTGTTGCTTTACTACACAGTAAAGATACTGGGTTTTATTCTGGGTATTGTTCTCAACTTTATGACACCTTGTATTTTGATTGACTAATCTGCAAGAGCATAGTACAAAAAAGAAGGCAATCCAGAAAGTACTAGAAAAATCTATAGTAGGTACTTTTTAAAGATACAGTGTGTTATAATTACAGGAATTTACTGACATAAATGGTACACACACACATATACGCTCACCGGCCACTTTATTAGGTACCTTATGCTAGTAACGGGTTGGACCCGCTTTTGCCTTCAGAACTGCCTCAATTCTTCGTGGCATAGATTCAACAAGGTGCCGGAAGCATTCCTCAGGGAGTTTGGTCCATATTGACATGATGGCATCACACAGTTGCCGCAGATTTGTCGGCTGCACATCCATGATGCGAATCTCCCGTTCCACCACATCCCAAAGATGCTCTATTGGATTGAGATCTGGTGACTGTGGAGGCCATTTGAGTACAGTGAACTCATTGTCATGTTCAAGAAACCAGTCTGAGATGATTCCAGCTTTATGACATGGCGCATTATCCTGCTGAAAGTAGCCATCAGAAGTTACATTGTGGTCATAAAGGGATGGACATGGTCAGCAACAATACTCAGGTAGGCTGTGGCGTTGCAACGATGCTCAATTGGTACCAAGGGGCCCAAAGAGTGCCAAGAAAATATTCCCCACACCATGACACCACCACCACCAGCCTAAACCGTTGATACAAGGCAGGATGGATCCATGCTTTCATGTTGTAGACGCCAAATTCTGACCCTACCATCCGAATGTCGCAGCAGAAATTGAGACTCATCAGACCAGGCAACGTTTTTCCAATCTTCTATTGTCCAATTTCGATTAGCTTGTGCAAATTGTAGCCTCAGTTTCCTGTTCTTAGCTGAAAGGAGTGGCACCCGGTGTGGTCTTCTGCTGCTGTAGCCCATCTGCCTCAAAGTTCGACGTACTTTGCGTTCAGAGATGCTCTTCTGCCCACCTTGGTTGTAACGGGTGGTAATTTGAGTCACTGTTGCCCTTCTATCAGCTCGAACCAGTCTGGCCACCATCAGTGTGTGAGTGTGTTCGCAAATGGATGAATGTCATTTTGAATGCATTTATTTTTTCTTCATTAGAGTTGTGGAAGAAGCAGCCGACCGAGTCTTCATGGCCGCCCGTCTCTTTGTTCGCTTCTTCAATCAGCGGGGCGCTTCCCTCCAGCAGCGCATCCTGGAGCTTCTGTCTCTGGCTGACTCCGCTGACAACTTCCACAAGAAGACGGTCACAGCCAGCGTCGGCGGCGGGGTGGCCAGCGTCGCCGGGTCCGTCACCACCATCACTGGGCTCATTCTGGCACCCTTCACGGCAGGAACGTCACTAATCGTCACGGCGGTAGGCATCGGCATTGCCACGGCGGGTGGCGTGACATCAGCCTCAGCCAACATCACAGACACGTTGCATTCAAAGACGGACCGCAAGAAGGTGGAGCAAATGATCCAAGATTACCAGGATGAGATTAAGGACATCAAGGACTGCTTGGATTTCATACAGGTGGGAACTTACAGTCATAAATTCGTAATTTTTACTTTTGTGTAAACTTTACTGTAATGATTAAAATTTTTTAAACTTAAATTAAGACCATTGCTAACAGACTAATCATGATCTATTCAGGAAGGAATGGAGACACTGGAGGAATGGAACTTTGAGAAGTACGCCGAAAGCATCTCCAAAAAGCACTTGAATCAGAACGTCAAACATGTAATGAAGGAGGGCGGCCGAGCTGGGAAGGCTTTAGTTATCAACACAGAGAGCCTGATCAACACCGTCCAGGTCCTGAACGTCGCCGGCGGCGCTGCTAAAGCCGCACAGGTGATGAGCGTCACCACAGGAGTGATGTCGGGTCTCTTCCTGGCCCTGGACGTGTTTTTCCTGGCAAAGGATTCCATGGAGCTGAAAAAAGGAGCAAAGACTGAGTTTGCTGTCAAGATCCGAGAGGTGTGTAAAGACCTGCAGGACGGACTGCTGGAGCTGAATGGAATCAAGGAGGACCTACAGAAAACTATGGATGGGATAGAGGTGGAGGTCGAAGAGGAGGACGATGAGGAGACACTGAAGTCTGATCTGAAGAAACTTATTGATCTTGAAGAGTGAAAGTTGGTGTTATTAAGCCAACCTATCCTGGTTTTAAAAAACAAAATAAACTAGAACTGTAGTTACCAAAATGGGGACAAGCTTTGCTGTTAGTTTTTCAAGTTGTTACTACACAGAGTAAATTTAATTTCTTTTTTTTCTTAAATCAGATTCTCGTAAATATATTTAATAAAATTATATCATAGTTGTTCTAAATGTGTAAATTTTTTCCTCTTAAATAAAAGTTATTTATTTATACATTCTACCTACGGCTGGTTAATGATATGAAGTGAGAGGTATGTGATGATATCAGTCTGGGATCAGGCAGTAGAGACAGACAGCGACTGGTTTCAGACCAGAAAATATTCAGGTGAACAATGCGTGAAGACTTGGACGTTCGTGCCGTTGCACAAGCATTGAGGCTGGAGAAAAATGTGGAATGGTGGCTTTTATCAACATGTCTTGAGAAATGAATTCTGGCCAGGAAATTACCTTTTTACTGTTAACCAGCGTGTGCGGTGAATTCCCACAGTGGATAAGAGGGATTTAAAGTGCCTTGTGATGATTTCTTACCAAAATTCACAAATAAGTTATTTACTCTTAGCAACAAAGGACAAGATGGAAGCGGCCCTTTATTATTTTCTTTCCATTATCATAACACATTACTTTTGTATATTTATTATTACATATAAAGATTACCTCCAGCTGATAAACTTAAAATTTCAAGTTCTCAGAAATTACATTTTTTAGTAGGTTCAACTTTTCAATTTAGATCTTGGTTTTATTATATTAGTTTAAAAAGCCAACTATTATTTTGTTTTAGGTTGTCTAACCTCTTGTAGACCCTCGGGGATGGACATCGAAATTCAAATATTTCAAGAGAAGAGTTTTAATGGAGGACACACTAGTACCTTATTATTTTTTGTGACATGTATAGTTATGATAAAAACCAAGGTCAGTGTAATTACCAAAGACAGTTATTTTCCCTGATATGGTTAAAAATAAATAAATCCAAAGAATGCTTCTATAAGAAATTGCTGAGAAACTTGGAGATTGAAAGAAACATTAATGCTCATACAGGAACTAAATGTTTTACTTTTTTGAACATATCAAATCCAGTAACCAAAATTGGATTCAATTCAGTTTATTTATAAAACGCCAGATCACAACACATGTCATCTCAAGGCACTGGAAAGGATATTTCTATTTTTTGCAATAATCGCAATCCTTTACTGGTGACATTCTATGTAGGAGTTACAGTTGGCTTTAGGTGGACCTTGCAGAACCTTGCAGAACCTCCAGACAACATCTGACCTCATGATTTTGCCTTGTTTACATTAAAGGGGTCTTTAGTTTATGTCCAAGTTACCAAAAATTACACTTGGACGATAAAGAGATAAGCTCAAAATTGTTGAAAAGACTCAGTTTCATGTTTGTTTCATTAGCAAATACTGTACTGTTAACACCAACAAAGCTGGAACGCTAATGATGTGCATGTCCATTTTGGCTACCGGTAAGTTGCTGTTCTCTAAATACATTAGTAGCCATTCAAAATTTCCCCACTTTCCTTTATGGGCCCTTGGCTGGTCCCCTAAAATTCATTTTTAAACATTAATACTTGTCCTAAAATATTCTTTCTGTCATGATTTGTGGATATTAAAGTCTAAAGAGGAACAATCTCCTGGTTAGACTCTGTAATTCAGTGAAAGGGTGGAGTTAGAATAAAAAAAAATGAAATAGGGGGTCACTCAAGTGACTGGAAGTTGGAGGGAAGTGGGCTGCCATTCTGCTGGCATTTGACTGAGAAGGGCCATTTTGAATAGCTGCTAAGACTTTTAGACATGTTGTTTATCTCATCACCCATATACCAGGTAACTACTAACATTCAACACCCTTGTTATTAGCAGCACTAAAATGACCCAATTGAGTGAAACGGGTCTCAGCCATGTCTTTTGCAATGCAAGGTAAACCCACCGCCAACTATTCATCCAATGGGGTCTGATTTTCAAAATCTCCACAAGTACCGTTACTTGTTATGACAGTTAACTTGTTCTTTATTAAGCTATTTAAGTTGTTTGTAATTCATACATAAATCAAATACTAAAGTTTGAATTTTAAATGTGCTAAAAAAAACAACGTACTAAAAAAAATATTGTTACAGTACAATAATGTTGGACATAGACAGTAGATGAAAACTCATTGAGTAAAATTTCTGCTAATTACTTTCAGCCTTCAAGTTTATGCTTTAGAGCAGATCTTTTAAAATGCTTGTTTAAGAAAACAATTTAGCCTTAATTCCAAATGGCAAAAAAAACTTTCCACATAACAGCCACTCCCGACAGTACTTGGGTGTGTATAACTAACTTAATGACTCTTCTTTGTTCCAAATCAGACATTTATTTTTAATAGAAGAGAGAGAGCAAAACTTGTCGAGTTAGTTTCGAAAGGTTTTAACTTGTCAAAGCTTTACAGCAGCCCTTAGTCCACTAATGATCACCTAGGCCCATCCTGGTTTAGATAAGGTTAAACAAAAAATGGTGCATGTGCTCTTTTAATTACCAGGTTCTAAAATCACAGACGCATAAAACAGATTCCAAACTATGTTAAACTACACTCCCTATATACTTTGTCCTTTTATCACCTGATTCTACGTTTCCTAATTTCAGATGCATTAGTAGCTGAAAGATAATCAACTCCAAAATCATTTCTTTAAATTACAACATCTGTGCATTTTATTCTTTAATAAAACATGCCAAGAGTCATGTTTTGATTGACTCCTGGCAGCCACAGTGGCCATTCATAGTCCCCCACTACCATCATAAAAGTAGAAGAGTCACAAAAAGATGAAGTACATGTAGCAGAACGGCCAGCATCCCCTGCTCACTTTCACAGTATTGTTTCATTGTTACTTTAAACTATCAACAGAGCCAGAAGGAATACAAAAAACCTTTTGTTAATAAAGGATGGCTCATAGTGTGCTGCGCCAAAAGAGACCAACTAATTGAAGCATCTATTGAAGTTAAGCAGAGCTTGTTGTTTTTCTGATAAACCAATGATTAGAAAAATACTTTTTATTCAAAGGCACCATTGTAGAGTCTAACCATGTGACAGTGTTTGTAAAGAGTAGACGTCATACTAAAGCTATTCCTCGGTTTAGGTACTGAAAGTAAAAGCCTGGCACAGATTATTCAAAACATGGTTTTGCAAACCAAATGACCCCAGATTTGTTTATTCCACCCATTTGTAAAAGGTTGTAAGTGAAAATTCTACTTAAATAATACAAAATGAAATAATTTCTAAAACTAAAAATTGTGCTCCAGTTTTTGGGTTGCATGGTAATACAGTGATTATTAGCTTAAAGTCTTGATTTGTATGTTCCCAGTGAGCATACATGGCTCTTCCCAGTTGCTCAGTTTCCCCATTGATGAAGGTTAGGTTCATTAGTAAATCTATATTCAATCTAAAATATCAAATTTACCTTAAATGGGCTGATTTATCAGACCAGTTATAAGTATGCAGCAATGCTTTATTAATCAAAGGGACTTAGCATTTTTAGTACTGATGCAGAAACAGCTTAACTGCACATTGAAACACATTCTGGTTAGCTCACAACAGTTGTAAGTTGTTGACATCTGCTAACCTGGATAGCAGAGCATTTTTTGTTGATCTAACTTCATGATCCTCCTTTAAGGCTGAACGCATATCCACAGCGGAACTGAAAGTATCTTTTCAAAAAAAGATAACAATGAAACCTTTATGCATTTGCTAGGGCTGTTGATGTGTGATGCTTCCACAGAAACAACTAGCCAACAACAACAACCATTAACATACGTAGGACTGCAAACAGGTGCCTGCAGGTTAAAAAGAAGAGAATGAGCTCTGACGGAAAAGGTAATATGCACAATGACCAAAGAAACTGGCACCACTAGGCCCTCTTACTACCATAACAAAGGACACAAAGACACTGAATGCCAGAGCCAGGGCTTGAAACTACAATCCTCTGGTTGCAGGGTGGACTCCTGTATCCGGCGCCACTGATGCCAAGCAACTTAATTATGATAGAAGGAAAAGAAAAGAAAAAACATGATAAAAGCAGGTAGCAGAACGCATAAACAGTTGGACCACAATCTTGTTTAACGGATAACCTTACACTAATAATACCTTAGTTACATTCCAAAAAAAAAAAAAACAATCCACTGGACTTTGTTTCTAAGTCTGAAGACGTTTCGCTTCCCATCCAGTAGCCTTTTTAATTCAAAATGCGAAACATCTTCAAACTTGGAAACAAAGTCCAGTGGATTGTTTTTTTTTTGTTTTTTTTGTTTTTTTTTTACTTTTTTGGAATGACCTGGATGACTGAGAATCTTTACCAGCACCTCAGTTAACAGTTTAACTTCAACGGTAAAAAGCAGTTCTAAAGAAATGGGTTTTATCTTTGACTTAAAAGAAATCAGGCTTTCAGCATTTCTAGAGTCGTTTCTGAGTTTGTTTCAGATCTGTGGAGCATAGGAACTAAATGCTGCCTCTCCATGTTTGGTTCTAGTTGTTGTACAAAGTGGTCTGGAACTAGACGACCTGAGTGGTCTGGGAGGTTGATACACTGACAACAAATCTGTTATGTATTTTGGTGCTGATCCATTCAGTGATTCATTGACCGACAGAAGGATTAAATGTATCCAGCAACAACTTTCTCTACTTTCTAATGGGGTTATATATCTATTACAATTAGACAGACTTTACTGCTTTTGTAAAGTTACTTAACCAAACTTGGTGTAAATTGTTATATTCACTATTTGTTTCTTGTACAGTTCACAATATAAAAAAAAATGTTTTCCTTTGCAAAAAAGTGTATTAATGTTTTGTGAGAAGAGTTGTGACATTTTGTTGAGGATTGAGAACTACGCTGTGTGGAAATGTTTCGGCTTATCCAGATTCTTTGCATGTTTCTTGCTAACGTGTTAACATACCCATTTCTGAAGAAGCAATAAGTTCAGCTTTTTACAGCTGTAATAAGTTATGAAAACAGAAAGTAGATCTACTCAAAAAAAGGACGATAACATCTGAATCTGTTACATCTTCACTGCATAACAGAAATGTGACATCCACTTATACTGATGAGGGGTTAATCCTGCTTAAGACTATCTCAGCTGTCAACAGGTAAGTGTCAAGCATCCATGTCAATAAAAAAGGAGATGCGTGGAAAACACAAACATTAT